GCTGGGCCGTAGATGGGCAGTAAAGTGGAGGCTTCGCGGAAAGGGAGCCCCTGTTTCTGGTGTGGGTGGGGGTGCGGGCATCCCCGGAGGAGACTCAGTAAACAGGTGTCTCTTAGGGAGCAGGGATGAGCGACCGCGGGCCACCGGAGTCCCCGCAGGGGAGTGTGCTCGCAGCGGCGGGTGCCCGGCGGGTCTGGATACTGGAGAGGAAACTCCTGACTTACAGAGGAGGCGAAAGAACCCAGGTTGCACTCACCAACGGTCAAACAGGCCACCCCGGGGTTCCAGGCCCTCCGGGGGCCTAGGGGCCCCTACAGAAGCTGGGTCATGAGTGACAAATGTAGGAGACTGAGAGAGAGAGTCAAACCTTCAACTTTCTTAATTTCTACTTGAGTGTTCTAGAGTGCACGTGGTGATACACCTTGCGAGTTATAAGGGAGAGAAAGCACAGGCCCCGGGCCACATGGGCTCTGCACCACTGCTGCACTGGAAACCAGCTGAAGCGTCCTCCCGCCCCCGCGGCCCCTCCTACCCCCCCCACCCCCGTTTCCAAGTGACAGAGGCAGTGTCCCTCTCAAGACTCGGGGTTTGCGGAGTTGGAGCAAATGAAAGAATTATGCAAACACTCATGCATTTATTACGCTGTGCAGAAAAGCACGTGTTTATGCCACGCACGTATTTCTGCTTGTGCTGAGAGCTTCCTTTTAACACTGTGTCAGCGATTCTGGTCTTTCCCGGGACAGATGTTCTCATGCATCACACAGGCCCCGGGCGGCTCCCCTCCCGGCGACCGACTGATTGTCCTCAGACCAGGAAAGCCGGAGTGACGTGAGGGGCGCCAGACCTCACGCTTCCAAGCCTCCTTTCCGGCTGCAAAGGGTGCATTATTTAGCTCTAATACTGCTTTGGCACGGATTGCCTTCTCCAGCCTCAGTGTTTATTGGGGAGAAGGATGGGTGGTGGGGAGAAGAGCATTGGATGGGGCGGGGGAATCTCATTGACCCTTTTTGTTCTAAAACCCAGCGTTGGACTGGCCAGGGTTTATGGGCTCGCTCCTGGTCTGCTCCTCTCTAGAGGCAGCCGGGGAACAGACGCCCACCCAGGGAGTGAGCCACAGCCGGCAAGGTCCCTGCAGCCCCTGAGCGCCCTGGCTGTAGCCCGGGGTGCCTGCCCTGAGTAAGCCTTGATGCTGGAGCCGTTCTACTGGGTGCAATGCTGGTCATGGGGGGGCAGCTCACTCACTCATGTAGAAAATGAAGAAACAAATTCTTCTGGCTGGACTCGGGGCTGGGGGCAGGGCTGTCCCCTGTCTCTGGCTGAGGACGCTGGTCCAACCGTGTGCCTGCCTCTGTGGGGACCAAAGTCTGCCCTGCCCACGGCCCCGCCCCATGGGCAGCCAACTCTGGCCCCTTTGCAGTTAACTGTCTGGACAAATGACGGGCTGGCAGGCCCCTTGGGGGTAAGTCTCCCTCTCTGTTCAGCCACACCTGACCACCTGGGGTGTGTCCTCAGGGTTTTCTCCTGGTCATATATCCCCAGCTCAGGCAGCCCAGCTGGGAACCTCACTGCCTTGGAACTGCAGGGGGCATGGATGGGGTGCTTGAGACCATCCTCCCCCCTGTACCCCCTGGCCACATAGGGGAGCTGGCCCTAGGTGCTGCCGTCCTCTGGAAGTGAGGGCCTGGGCATTGGCATTCCCTGTGCACATGCGACCGGAATCTCTGCCTCTTACTAAACCGGGGCCTGTGTGTGTGGTGGTGGCAGTGGGGGGGGGGGAGTGACAGGTCATCATGGGGAAGGCCGGGGAGGGGAGCTAGCTTACTGAGTACCTGCTACCAGTCACGCACAGGGAGGGACTTCACACATGCAGCTGTGACGCTTCTCCTCGTAGGGCTCATGTCCACCCTCCTTGTCCCAGGTAATCAACTGATTTGTGTTCTGTGTGCATAAAAGCCCCTCACATCACATAGCACCTTTCGCTTGTCAAAGTACTTCCCAGCTGTGTCTCTGTTAATCCTCATGCATCCCTCTGTGACAGAGGAGGAGACTGAGGCCGTGACAACTAGTTGTTGGCTGAGGTGGGAATTGGTCTCTGCAGGGTGGAAGCCAGGGCTCTGTCTCCCCACGGCATTTGTAAGTTCCTTTAAGACAGAGACGGCACTTTCTCCTTCCGCTCAGCCCTGGAGCTTAGTGAACGGCGGGCGCTGAGTTCGCACTCACTGGGCTTTTCTTTGGCACAGATCTCCTTGTGCGCTGGCGAAGGGAGACACAGAATTCCAGCTCTTCAAGTTCTTACCAGGGTCCCTCAGGGTTCAGCCCTCGCAGATTAGAATCCTCCTCCAGTGTCCTGGTCAAGTGTGTTGAAGAAACTGCCGGCGAAATGCAGCTCAGTTACGGCCCCAAACTGGGCGACTCTTCTCCACCAGGGCTGCTGTGCTGGGTAGGGCGTGACGCGGGAGCCGTTCAGTCACCCCCGTCCCTGCTCCCGGGGTCCCTCTACTCCTGGAGTGAGCAGACTGGCCCGGGGGTGCCAGCCAGTGAGAACGGTGAAAGCTGCGGTGGGGAGCCTTGGGCTGTGCCTGGGAGAACCCCGTCCTCACAGCCGTGCTCACTGCCACTTGGGCCGGGCAGGAGAGACGCTCCTGCAGACTCATTGTCCAGAGTCGCCGGCGGCTGCCTTCGGGGCTGCTCCCCGGGCGCCTGAAGAGCGGCTGTCCACAGAACCTCACGTGTGTGGACGGCAGCCGTGCTGACCCCCGCTCACTGGCTGCTCCCCCCCCACTCCGGCAACCGTTGCATCTGGCGGTCCACCGAGATGGAGGTCCGCAGCGTGCCCATGGAGCTCTCCAGCTGGCTGGGCCTGGACACACAGCCGCCCCTCTGACACAGCCTGCAGAACACCTCCCGCGACTTCTTGCGGAAGCGCTTGCCCACGATCACGTACACCAGCGGGTTGAGGCAGCTGTTGCTGTAGGCCACGTAGGTGGATATCTGCGTGAACACGTCGATGAGGTGCTCGTCCCAGCAGCCCGAGAGGATGTGCAGGCGCAGCAGCGTGTCCAGGAAGGTGCTGACCTGGAAGGGCAGCCAGCAGGCCACGAAGAGCAGCAGCACAGCCAGCACCAGCACCGTGGCCTTCCTCTCCGTCTGGATCTCCTTGAACTTCTGCATCTCGTTGTTGCGCAGCACCTGCACGATCTGCACCGTGCAGAAGGTGATGATGATCAGGGGCAGCAGGAAGCCCACGATGTTCAGGAGCATGTTGGTGAACACCTCCCAGGAGCGGGATGGGTAGATGATCATGCAGGCGGTGACGTTGTAGCCCTCGTCTCTGTAGTCCCTCATGGTCCGGAAGGCCAGCATGGGCGAGCTCAGGAGCAGCGTGCACCCCCAGATCACCACGCTGTACAGCTTGGCACAGCGGACCCCGCGCATCCGGCCCACGGACATGGTCTTCACCAGGGCCAGGTAGCGGTCGATGCTCACCAGGATGAGGAAGCAGATGCTGCTGTAGAGGTTCATGTACACCATGGTGTTCACCACGCGGCACAGCACCTCCCCGAAGAGCCAGTCAAAGTTGTTGGCGATGGTGATGGCCCAGAAGGGCAGCCCGCAGGCCAAGATGAGGTCGGCCACCGCCAGGTTGCCCAGGTAGATCTCGGCCACGGTGCAGCTGCTCTTGTGCAGGCAGAAGACGCTGAGGACGAAGATGTTCTCGAGCGCCGCCAGGATGAACAGCACCCAGAGGAAGGGGGCCTGCATGGTGTTGAGCCAGCCGCCCCACTCGGGGGGCACGCACTCGGAGGGGCTCTGCCAAAGCGTCCCGTTGAGCGTCGGCGCTGGGGAGGTGGCGTTGAGCACGCTGCTGCTGAAAGAAAGTGGGAAAGAGGCTGTTACACCTCGCGGTCACAGGGGAAGGAGGAACAGCAACTCAGGAGAGGGGGGTGGGCCGCCGCCCAGGCTCGCGGGCGCTTCCAGGCCAAGGCAGGAGGGAAGTCAGGCCCTCTCGGTTCAGAGGCTCAGTCCGGGTGCTGGGCGCTGTCCTCGGCGGTGTCCACCGCCAGCACGAACGACCGCGAGCAGTGGACTCTGGGCTCCGCCTGGAAGCTTCCAGCTGGGAGGACACACAGCCCATTCCTCCCTTATCACGCGGCTCCTCCCTGGGAGCGGGTCGTCTTTGGCCTCTCGCGGCCTGGCCATGGACGAGCGGTTGATTAGAAGACAAGAATGATGGCATGCCAGACAGGGAGGTTCCAGTCTGATCCGAGCCACGGCCCAGCTGCCCGGGCCCTGGCTCCTGCTGGCACAGGGCGTCCGTCAGCAAAGGTGAGGATCGGGGTGCGTGACGGAGGGAGGCCGTGACTCTGGTGCCAGACGGGCTTTCTAGGCTCAACTCCTGGCCAGTGCGTTAGCTGTGCGACCTTGTATCAGTTCATTAACTTCTCTGGATCTTAATTAGCCACCTTGTAAAATGGGATTAAGTCTAGTTGTTAGGGTGGTGGTGGGGGATGGGAGGGAATGTGCAAAAAGCCCCGGACACTTGAATCCATCAACGCGGATCATCGGCGGCTTTGTGAGTGAGCAAGACGGCCTGGCCGTCTGCTGGCCCTTGCTCCTGGGTGGCGACCTCCTCACTCTCTCCTGGCTCCCCTTCACTCCGGATGAGACTCAGACCGCGGGCTGGCCACCTTCCAGAGTGCTGTGGGCAAGGCTAACCCATCTGTATCTTCCGCAAAGGGGGTGGTTTGGGAAGGCATGGATTGGTCTGCAATCCAGCTGTGTGGTCTTGGGCAAATTACTTGGCCTCTCTGAGCATCCACGTGGTTTTCCTTGAACTAGAGCGCTACCATCTTCCTGGCCTGCCTGGGATGACTCTTGCGAGGTTCAAATCAAAGAGTGGGATGAAGACACGTAGTAAAGTTGAACGCATACCCCTAGATGCTAGCACTGACTGGGAATTTTCCTAGAGCTGCGGGTGGGGTCCTGTTGGTTACTTGTTGGACAGGCTTGGAGGGGGGGGGGGGGGGAGTGTTGAGCAAGAAAAGATCGGGAAGAAGCTCCTGGTTGCCTGGGAATTCCCAGGAAAAGCCCCTCTGCTAATGGGCCTTGGGTACCACACCACACTCCTCACACACTCACTCACCCAGTGGCAGCTCAGAGCTGCTCCCTGCTGAGCCCCTCCCTGCTGAGCCCCTCCCTGCTGCAGGGAGCCACAGGGCACGGCCCACCCTGCCCCTACCCCAGCTGGGAGGACACAGCCCTGTGTGATGAGGCTGCGGGGACAGAGAAAGATGGAGGTGACTTTGGAGCTGAGTCTTGAAGGATGAGGACGTCTCGGCGGGGCACGAGAGGGAAGGAGGGACGACCAGGCAGATGGACAGCCTGAGCAGAGGTGCAGAGGCGAGAAGTGGCGGCCATCTTCTGGAAGGAGAACTCCAGGCTGAATGGGGAAGTGGAACGTTGCAAAAAGATGCGGCTGAGTCAGGGAATATGACGGTCTCACAGGGTGCTCAGGAGGGAGTGGTGGGATGCGGCACGTGCTCTGGAAAGATCCCTCTGATGGCTCTTTGTTTTAATATGTCCAGCGATGTTTTAACATGTCCCCAAATCCCTTGATGTTCCTCACTTCAACACTGGAGACTGATTCCTCTCCTGGTGAGTGTAGTGGGGCCTGGAGACTTCCTTCCCACCCACGGAGGTGGTGACAGCCATGACTTACCTGCCTAGGGCTTGAAATGCATTGCATCTTTCCTTGACCTTGGGGGAGGGGGCATAGCTGTGGGAGGTGGGGTGGGGAGGAAGGGGGAGCTGCCATGTTGTGAGGATACTCAGGCAACCCGCTGGGGAGTAATCACCTAGCAGGGGGCCTTCTGCCCTCAGGAAAGCCTCTGTTGGTGTTGGCCCCTAACCCCACTTTTGAGTTTTCCAGCTAAGACACACACACACACACACAGGAACATTGCAAAGCGAACCCCACTACATTTCTGAGCGTGGAAGCTGGTGGGCTTCGCTGCAGCGCCCTCTGAGGGCCAGATCTCCCTGGGCAGCCTTTCTGGCCAGCCGTTGGCTCCATTGCCATTTCCACCTCTTCAGCGCCTGGCTCCATGAGGTGGGTTGTTACCTATGGCTCAGCTCTCAGAGACTAACCCCACAGCACCTGAGCACCCAGTTCATTTCCCAGCAAAACACTTCTCAGCCACCAGGGGGCGCCCGGCCCACAGCTGGCTCTGAGAAGCCGGGTCAGCAGAGGTGGTGGGGAGACGCATAATTGGGGGGCCTGTACTTTGTGGCCCTGGCTGGTTGTCTGAGGGCCAGGAAATGGAACTCTCCCTTGGCAAATGTCTGCCCTGCCGGGGCTGCCTCCAGAGACCCGAGTCAGCAGAACAACGGCTTGTCCACCGTGAAGAGCCCTGGGATAATCTACAGAGGTCGGGAGGCCGAGCTGTGTTTGCAGGCTGCAGGAAGAAGGAGCGTGGCTGCACCTTCACGTCCACAGGGGTGTTCGTGAGATGAGAGATTCCAATGGTCCTTGCCCCCCCCCCCCAACCCCCCGATCTCCCCAGCTGCAGGCAGCTCTGCCTTGCCCGGGTGGTAGATCTGTCGTAAGGACAGAGTTCCTCCTATACCAGCTCACTGAGTTCATCACAAGCTGAGTCTCCAAGTGGCTTCTCTCCTTGTGAAGGCAGTTAAGTGTTCTTTCTGTGCAAGCAACCACAGCCCCGAGGGCAGGTGCCTCTCTCAGAGCCAGGACCTCCCTTGGGCTCAGAAGAAACTTTTCAAAATACACCTCTCTTTGACCAAACGTTGGTAAAGGTCTCAGTGGTGGGGGCATCAGCTGCCGTCCGAGGCCTCCGTGCTGCTGGGTCCACGTGCCCAGGACTGAGCGGCCAGGTGTGTCCTCCCGGCTTTGTCCTGGGACACTGCCCACCATCCTGCTGGCCCTCCTTTTTCTCTGCTTCCACTGGAGACCAGCTCCCCACACCCGCCCTCCCCCAGTGTGTCCTGCCAGCTGCTGGCCAGATGTTGTCATCCCTGACCCCGGGGCTGACTTCACAGCTTCCGCTCCTCACGTCTGAGAAGTCAACAAGGCAGAAGTCTAGTGTCTCACAATGACCCTCAGGCTGTGTCCTTCTGCACCTCCTGCGCCCTCCCCCAGGGGTCTTTCCCTATGTTCCTGCAGGCCCGTGGGGTTGACAGGCCCTGAGAAGCTTTGTCTTTGGATCTAATGTTGCCATTGCCCCAACTCTTGTCTGGAAGGTGAGGGTCATGTTCTCCTGAGAATTCACAGGTTGTCTAACCTCAAGGCAGTAAGTGGAGGGATCAGTCAGACTTACCTGAAGGAGGCCATGGTGGGTGCTGAGTCCTCAATAGCAGACAGGAACATCGGTGACTTCCAGGAGAACATTTGGAATCAAGAGTGGACGTGAGGGATGCCCTGTCTGGCAGAGCAAGTGAGAAAAGATGGTTAGACGGGGTGGGACGGGGCATGAAACACTCATGCACACATGTGTTCCCACCAGGGGAGGCAAATGGAGCCCTTTGCCTGGTGGATATTGACGAAGCTTCTATTGCCTATGGGGTGCAGGGCGATCGTGGTGAGGACAGGAACACAGACCAGTGAGAAGCCGGGCCTGACTCTAGTGGTTTCTAATGATTGCAGATGGACATAAGTGCTGCGAAATAAAATGAAATGCCCCAGAACAACATACAACAGGCGGTCCTGAAGCAGCTTGGGCAGGAGGTGAGTGGACAGCTATTATGACAAAGGGGGTGAGGGATGCAGGGAAGGGAGGGTGTCTGGCCAGAAGAGCAGCAGGTGCAAAGGCCCTGAGGCAGGTAGAAGCTTGGTGAACGTGTGTAGGACCGGGTGCTTGGGAGACAAGATCGTGTCATGTGTGGGGGGTGGGGTGGGGGGCCATTCAGCGGGTTCTGCCTGTTACCCCAAGCACAGAATGTGGAGGTGGAAGATGATGAATTCCACGGTTTTGAAAGCCCGTCTGGGGAAAGATTGGACGTGGTAGGGTTAGGGGTGAGGCTGAGGTGGGTGTCCAGATATTGTCCAGGTGATACCACCTGCAATCAAGAGGAGGGCTGACTGGAGAGACAGGGTCACAGGCGTTGAGACTGGAACCTGTCTTGGGTGTCAGAGGAATGGAGGGTGCTTCAGGTGGGGGTAAAAGGCGCTGGACGGCTCCAGTGAGGGTCCAGGTTCGAGGAAGGCATCTGGCCTGGAATTGGGCTTTCTCTGATGTGACGGAAGTGAATGGACATTGGGTGTCCAGATAGCATGAGGGAGGCCAGTACAGAAGAGTAATTCTAATCCTTTGTGGGGGTCACCAGGCCTCCCCTGAGCCTCTTTCTGTTCCCTTCACCCCATCCAGGGCACAGCTGCACTGGCCTTGCAGAAGACGAAGCCAGGTGAAGAGAGGGGGTGACATGCCCGAGCACCATAGCTGCTGGCAAAACCTTGAGGGGGGCTGAACCCCTCCGGCGCCAGAACTCAAGCTCTTCCCAGGGTCCCTCGTGACCTCCCGCTCCCGCCTAGGACGCGCGCAGAGGGGACATGTGCATTTGTGTGTGCACGTGGGTACCTGCCTCCCCCGGTCCCCACCGCTCAGCTCAAAGGCCCTTGGCTCTGGGTTTCCAGAAGCCCCCCTCATCTAACCCAGTTGCAGGAGGTGGAGCTAAGGAGTGGATGATTCTGGAAATTTAAATACCGTAGAAAAAAAGAAACCAAGTGGGCAAACAGGGACCCAAGTGGCAGGGAATCAATGGGCGGCTGGAAAAAGTTCACCAGGACCCCGCGAAAAGCTGGGAGACCACAAGCAGCCACGTTCTCTCATTCTTCAAGGAGGGCGATGGGGGAGAGGGGAAATACCCAGAAGATTGGCTTTCCAAGGGTCCCCCCGGCTTGGAAAGACCGTTCAGCAGGGTCATGCTCGAATCTCAACATTCACTGGGTGCCTCTCACCTGCTGGGGGTGCAGTGGGAGATGAGTGAAGACAGCCACCACCCCTTCTCAACACCTGCCACCGCCCGGGCCTCTGGACTCCCTCTCTAGCTAGGTTTCCGCACCTGGACAGTGCCAGCTACCCTCGACCCCCTGCCCTGAGGAATGTCCAGCGTGGCGTGCTGCCCACCTCTGGGTGCACCTGGCTGGGTGGCCCTGGGCCTGGTCCAGTCTGCCCAGCTGCATCCTGACTGCTCGATACTGGCTGTAAACATTGTCCTCAATGCATTTCGGAACAAAGTGGCAGCTTTTCCCTCTCAAGTGTCCAGAGAGCAGGGCCTGAGAGAACCGGAGAGTCTGAGGGTGATGGGAATGGTTCCTCTGGCCTGATTTGCAGCTGACCCTGGTGGTGCTTCGGCCAGTGCTGACCCCGGCTTTTCTGCCATCTGGCTTCCCTGGAGCTTGACCAGCAGGAGGCCCGGGAGGGGGGAGGGGATGAGGCTGGGCTGTGGCCCCCAGCTCCCTCCCCTGGGGCCTGCAGAGATTGGCCCCTCCTGGTTCAGTGCCCACAGCTCCTACCAGGATGCTTTCCACAAGCCTCACTGCCTGGCGATTCTTGTCACCCCCTTTCTGACTCAGGGAGTGACCCCCAGATGCCTGCCCCTGCAGACACGCTTTGGGGTCAAATACAGCCAGGATTATGCGCTTGGGTGTCAGAGGAATGGAGGGTGGCAAGACGCTCGGGCGTGGGGAGCTGTGTATATGCTGGGGTCCCTTTAGCCCTGGGCATCATGCCTCAGAGCTGGGTGGGGGTGTCTGTTGGGAGGGTGGGGCACCCTCGCTTCTGCTGGAATGGATCCTTCTGCTAGGGTTTGGTGGAGATGAGCTGACCCTGAATGTGCCCCACTAACTTAAACGGAAAACGTGCATCATTATCACAGGAGCACCACACACACACACTCGCACCCTGTACGACATCCCTGAGTGGGGTGTAACTCCAGGAAAGTCTGGCTGGATTCAGGGGCCGCCAGGGCCTGGGCCCGCTGTGTGGGGAGAGGGGGAGATGACAGACCCAGAAAGAGCTCAGACGCCAGCCCCCCAGGACTGTGACTAAGGAATTGCGGGTCTTTTGCCTCCAGGCCGTGACCCTGGCTCTGAGTAAGCCTGCTGGCCGGGCAGCTCAGGGCGGCAGCTGGCTCCAGGTTGGGCTCCTCACAAGGAACACTGTTGGGGGGCGGGGGCAGCACGGGGTGTGGTGAGCCCAACCTCCAGCCCCAGACACGCTTCCTGGGGGCCCAGGCAGGTGCCCTCTGTGCCAGGGTGTTTGCTCCTGGCGGCATGAGGGCCAGCAGGCACACAATTCAGCGAGCGCCATCTTTCTAGAGTGAGTTCCTGGACAGTTCCAAGGCAGACGGGACAAGCCGGTCCCGAGTGGCATGCACCCTGAAGTGTCCGCGGCGGGCACAAGGGGACGTTCCACGGGTCGCCCTGAACTGGGAGCCAGAGCTGGAGCCGGGCCTGCTCTGGCCGGAACCCTGCCCTGCGCACAGGGAGGCCTGGCCCTGTCCTCCTCCTCTGTGACGTGTGGCAGCAAAGAGCAGGCCCCCGCAGCCCCCCGACCCCGCCCGGGTCCAGCTCCCAGCCCCAGCCCTGCGGTAGGAGCAGGTGGGTTAACACACCTCACTGCAGGACTTAACGTGCCCGGGAGCGTGAGCCGTGCATCCTGCCCCCAGAGGGCCCAGCGCCCTGGCCACGTGGGGGGGGGTCGGGGAGTCGCCCACCTATCTGCTCTGCTGCTTCCGGGCCTAGACACGGACAATGCAGCTGTATGTGACTCGGGGACACCACCTGCTGGCTGGCCTGGGGGGCCCTCGAAGGCACGGGTTCCGTGCTGGGCCCCAGCGGCTGTTCTCTTGGGTCTTTGGTATCCCCACTTCGGTGACAGTCGCGAGAGGGTGTCCGTCGGTCTGCCCCACACCAGGCAGACCTGAATTTGCGGTGTTTCCTTTCCCGCACCGCCCAGATTCTACAGAGGGCAGGTTGGGGCCACCCTGCGCCCGGCAAGTCCGCTCTCCAGCAGCGGCCGCTCACAGCCCGTCCGTGTTCCCGTACCAAGGCCAGTGCGTGGCTTTCCTAGGGTTGACGCGGGGGCTCCCCAAGACCCGCAGAGCCCGGCTTGCAGCGACTGTGCAGGCGAGACTTTCCAAACCTCTTTCCTTTCCCAAGCCTCTTCCCTCTCCAAGGCAGCAGCTGCTGCTCTTTGCACCTGCTCGCGTCTGTGCAAGTGCCTTCTTTCCTAACACACCTGTCCTTTCAAGATGCAAAAAATAAGAGACAGCCTTAGAGTTAACATATGACTTTCAAACACACCAGGAAACCCAGAGCTTCACGGGGCCCGAACCAACCCACAAGACCTCTGGCGTGCCTGTATCCGGTCTCCTGAGGAAAGGCTCCTGCCCCCTTCCGCTTGCCGTGCCTGCTGTGGTGTTTCGCATGTCCCAGCCTCTTGAGAGCCATCTGCGCCATAAATACTTCAAGGCTCTCAGACCACCCAGCAAGCTGGGGTCAAGGCCAGAGCTCACAGGAAAGAGATCTCCTGGCCCCCGGGCAGGACCCTTCCGGGACACCGGGTCCCTCCAGACGGGGTCCCCGGGTCCCCAAGGCAGCGGCTCTGTGCCAGAGTTGCAGTGGGACAGTCGAAGTGAACTTCAGCCGAGTACACACTGGACGCTGGGGAGATGGGCCCCCTAAGCAGGCGGCCAGGGCCCCAGCAGCTCGAGGCTTTCTCCTTTTCCCCCCTGAAGGAAGGCTGAGCCCTCTGGGGGGTCAACAGCGTTCTGGGAACCTCAGTTCCAGGAACTCTTGCAGAGCTGGATCAGAAGATCCAAGCCCCTCGGGCACTTGGACACTTTCTGGTCTGGAATGTTTTGGAAACATTTTCAGGGGAGACGAGGGGGCCTTGAAAGCTGGGCTCCTCTCTGCAGTAGAGGTCAGGGCTGGCTTCCTGACTGGGCTGGCTCCAGACATCCCCCCTCCTCCACCGCCACCCCAGGTTGGTTATTTAGCCTTAACCCTTTCCTGCTTGTCCTTAAGTCACTCTGTTGTGGCGTCTTGGGCTTTGCTGTTATAGCAAATGAACAAGTTCACTGCCACCCGAACAGCACTCCTCTCCCTGCTCCCCCGCTTTTGGTTTTGAAAACAATACAACCTCAGTGAGGAGCATTCAGAAATCTTACCCCCCCCACCCACTCCCAGGTCCCAACCCTAAACAACTCCTGCGGCCAACCTGTCGCTTTGCGGTATTCTGAGAGTGTCCTAACAAGGGCGTCCCCAGCGCCTCGTGCCTGAGGGCTGTGGTTTGGGAAACTGGCCCTTTATTCCGCCCCTGTCCAGGTCATCACTCTCACAGCACTCCAGGTGCGTGACGCACTCACACATCCCCACGGAGTCCCCACATTTTCCACTCTGCCTTTGCTTGAGCCCCCCTCT